AATAATTAATTTCTATCAGTGATTAATATTTATTTATAATTAACAACAATTAGTATTATTAATCAAGGTTATAATTGAAAAAAATGCTAAAAAAAACTCATAAGATGTTACTCCAACTAACATTTCAATAAGTAAACTTATGATTATCCAAATATGTCCTTAAAAAATAAGTTAGTTTATATTTGTCAAACAATGTATAAAAAATCTAAACTCCCAAATGGCATGTGTTTGTTTACAAAACTAATAATATGATTTTTTTGGCATAACATGGAACATATGGCAAGATATACCTTGTTGAAAAGATATGACGTCATCTTTTAATTTTTTCTTGTTGAAGAGATAAATACTATATTAGACATGAATCGACATTAAATATGCAAATTGAACACGTTGATTAGTAAGGGTAAAAAGGGAAGTAGCTATTTTCTAGTGCAGCATTATGGAAAACAAAAAGGCTACCTACCAATCAACATACGAATTAAGCATCCACTCTTGTTCATGCCACCATACCCAATTACTTTTATTTTAGTTCCTTACTTTTGAACACAATCGCCATGTTTTGTTCTAATTTTTTGCCCTACCAAAGTAGGGTTCTAGCTAAAAAATGAGCATTTACCAAATGATTTTTGTTCTTTTTGGTCTTCTAAAAGGTCAAGGGTTCAAATTTTATCAAATATGAGAATGGTGTATGAGTTTATTTGTTCTATTTGTCGTATATAAATATTATATACTTTAGAAGAAAAAAATGGAGAATTTGTTTTTATGAGATGTTTTCAAGAGATTTAGATTTAATTAATGGAAGGATTCAAAATTACCTTCTATTAATTGGTTACTATAAAACGAATGTTTTTATCATTACCAACACATCCTATGAAATCTCGTAAACTACCAACTACGTAATAGAAATATGGGATTTTTATATCCAATATTTGTAGGATTTTACTAAAATCTCGGGAATTGAATTCCAAACTTTCTTTAAACCAGACGTGGGATTGGAACGATATATATTTATTATTGTAATTTACGCTCTTGTTTACGACAACGTGTTAGGGATGGAAGGATAGAGTCCTTTGGTGTCCCCCAGTTAAGAATCGGGGCTTCGTAATCACTGTTTTATCTCATGGCTTTCTCCGTCCATGGTATTTATTTGGAAAGAGATGGCATGTGAAAATTAATTTGTCTTTCTTGAATATGAGATTGGACCACACAGACAAGAGTTGGGAAGGTCGATGATTGGTTAAATCAATCAAGAATGAACTGAAAGAAAGAGGAATAAAAAATCTAATATATATTTTAACTTTATATCAACAATTCAAGTATTTGTTGGTTTGAATCTCATGTGGGTATATATTTTTCCTACCCATTAAAAATTGGAAGCAAACCAACCAATCAATCACCCAACCACCCACCACCACTTTTTCCTTCCTAATCTCATTATACAGAACTCGAAGCTTCCTACCACTATCACTTGTTCTCTTTTTCTTTAATTTAACCATGTGGTATCTACATCATCCATGATCTCATCATCATCATCAATGGCTGATGGCTGATGGCTGCTACCACTTCTGAGATTGGTTTTGTTGAACGATTCTTCCCGAAATTGCCGCTGCTAATGCTGCTTTGAAGCTGGGATCTTTTGTCAATGATGATGCCATTTGATCTACCAAAAACTGTTGAAACTCGGGTGTGTCAACTCTCCGGTTACCCCCAACCTTGGCTTCTTCTGAAGGGTTAGTGGGTGGTTTTGGTGGGTTTGTCAAGTCCAGGGTGATAGTTGGTCCCGATGACCCCAGTGAGGCCGAGCATGGAACTGAACCCAGCGTGGCCGTCGCAACTGTTCGGCTCAACCCTGAGTTTGCCTGCTCCTGTTTCGATTGGTTTGGATGGTTGTGTTCTCCTTCATAAGTTGCCACCAAGATTGATTGATCCTCAACACTTCTTTGAACCTAATCCAAACAACATGAAATCAGAAACAACACGAAATCCATATATATATATATATATAATAATGAATCAAAACATGATCAATTTGGCAATGGTTTCTCACCTTCTTTTTGACTGGGCAACTTGGAGCATGGGAGCATTTGAAATAAGCTCTAGGAGAAGGGTTGTCTCTTGTGACCTTTTGCCCATATTTCCGCCATTGATATCCATCCTTCACCAACTGAGGAAACATATATACGTTTAGATTTTTTTGGCAAATACTATTAGGATTAATTAACATCCTTTAATAATTTAAAGTGGTTTCTTGTTTCTTTCTTAAGATGGATTCATCAAGCACATGTCAACGTCTTAATGTGATCAGAAACCCGAATAATTCTAGCTAGAATTTTGCGTTTCTAGACATGATCATTCAATCATATCTAGAAACTTCACATCATATCATCCCAGATGTTAGGATGCAAAGATTCTAGAAACAATTAGTTTAGTGGTTAGCTAGAGGACTTACGAGGCCGGTATCGGAGGCTTCGGTGCGAACACAGACCCTAGAAATCTTGGCCTTGATGTGTTGTTGATCTTGTTGTCTAGGTTTCTTGCAAGAATCTTCATCACTAGAACTGCTTTCAGAATTCCCTCTCTCAATTATGTTGTTGTTGTTAGTGAGGGTTTCGGGTTTTCGCTTCCTGGAGTTGTTGTTGTTGTTGTTGTTGTTGCTGTCTGATGGTGCTGGATTCTTGCTCATATAATCAGCCAAATGGTTTTGCAAAGCATTGTAGTTCTCACACATGACAGTTAACATCTCAGTAAGCTTCTTGTTTTCTGCACTCACCCTATTCAGCTCCTCCACCAAACCGTCAGCTGCCTGCTCATCATAAAAAAATCCCATAAGTTAAAACCCTAGTTATTACTTATACATATACATATACATATACATATATTTATATATATATATATATATAAAGAGAAAGAGAGAGGGAATTATAATGGTGTTTACCTTATCATTAACATGAGTTGGCATCTTCAATCCAAGCTCAATGAAGTTGCTTTGGACTTCTTGTTTCTGTGAGTCAAAATCAAGAAATTAAACCCTGCAAACTAAACACAAACCCATGTGTGTGTGTGTGCGTTTATATACATACATACATATATATATATGTATGTATATATGTAGTAGGTAGATAGATAGAAGTGTATGTATATGTGGATACTTACCGGAACTAGAGAGAGGAAGTGAGAAGGATTGGAATTAAGATCCAAAGAAGTATCAACCAAGCTTGTGTATTCCATGGCAGATTGAAGTTGTAGTTTGTAGTTGCAGATTGGAGATTGGAGATTGGAGAAGGAGGAAGGCAGCTGAGCTGAATGAGAAGAAAGTGAGAAGAATATATAGATAGGGAGGAAGGTGCAAGTTGAGAGGAAGAGAAGAGGAAGCTGGCTTTCTGCTTACAGATATTATTATGGTCAAGATAGAGATATATAGCCCTCCCATTTTCATTTATTATTTACTATTTATTATTTATTATAATTATATTAAACTTTAAATCAGCTTCTCCTTTGTATTTTTCTCCATACTTTTTAATTCATACAAATTACAAAATACCAAAATGGGTTTACGTCCATAATCAAACACTCAACACTAAAATAAAGCATAACTCATGTACATTAAATTAAGTTTCAATTACTTGAATTTTTCTTTCCAAAAGATACCAACTTTCTATTCAAAAAAACCCGTATTTGATCACAATGGTGGCGCTTTGGTTTGAGTTTGACTCCAAATATCAAAAGTATCAGGAGGTTTCAGGTTCAAATCCAAGGAGGAATAAAAATCTTCTTGTGGCTATGAAGGTTCAAATACGATGACTTCAGACTATCTGTAAAACAAATGATCGTCCTGAGATTAGTCGACTCACATAACGGATTAAATATTCAAGTTAATAAAAAAAATATAAATATTTGATTTTTTGAAAAAAAAGATAAAATGGAAAAATAAAAAGGCTGTATTAAAAAAAGGGAAGGGGTTAAAAAAGAGGAGTGAGAGTGAGTAGAAAGTCATGATGAAAAAGTTGGTTGTCGGCTGCTGGGGTAAGAAGTCTTTACAATTAGTCAAAGTCAAGCCCACCTTTGCCAACGTTTGCTTGCAATTTGGACAACTACCTTCCATCTCCTCATATCAATCTTCCTTTTTTTTTTTTATATTCAAACATGTTTTCTTTTATATTTCTAATATAAAATCATTTTAAATTTATAGATTTGGTCCTTGCACTTTATTTTATTACAAATGAAAGCTTTATTGATTTTAGTCACTTCCACTAATTTTCTGTTAATCTTTTTCTATAAATTTAGTTATGTTATGTCCCTCACTATTAAAAAAATGTTTTTTCTATTTATGAAAAAAAAAATATTAAACAAAAACTTTTATAATTTATTGAGATAAATTAATCCACACAAAATGATTAATTAAGCAACTTGGTAGGAGATACCTCAAGCAAGCAAACAACCAAAATATGTTTTTTTTTTTTTGTGAAGATTCGAATTTTGTTTGATTAACCTGGATATCCAACCTATTATGCGAGTCGACTAATTCTAGGATGACAACCTGCTTCACGTGTAGCTTCAAATCACCGTATTTAAATCTCCATGATCACAAGAGGATTTTTATTCTTTTTTGAATTCGAATCTGAGACCTCCAAGCTCAAACCAATCGGATATCACCTTTAGGTTAAAGATATGAATTTTAGGAGGCAAAAACCAGGAAAACACGATAATGTTTGTCATTCTTGATTTATTTTACAGGTTTTTGTTAAATCATGTATCAAGTTAGCTACATATTCGTTATTACTTTCTTACTACTTATTATTAGGGTTGTAAATGAACAGAACGGACACGAACGGAGGCTTGTTCATGTTCGTTCGTTCGTTTAATTTAACCGAACAAACACGAACAGTAAATGAACGAAAATCTTTGTGTTCATGTTCGTTTATATTTGTTCGTTAACATGTTAAATGAACGGGCTAAACGAACATTAAATTTAATATATAAACGAACGGTAAACGAACGAATTTTCACGAACATAAATGAACGAATGGACTTTTGTTCATGTTCGTTCGTTTAACTAAACGAACAAAAAAAATTGTTCATGTCCGTTCATTTATTAAATAAACGAACTTCCCACCGAACAGTTTGATTTTAGAAAAAAAAACAATACTTGATTACTTATTATCTTTTGGTATTAATATAGAAAAACAATATTTGATTTTAGAATTATATATAAACTTTCATTACGATTTTGCAATTAAAAACTAAAATAAGACATCTAATAAAAATATAAAGTAATAATAAAATATAGAAATATTTCTACAGCTAATATGAAATAGTTATAGTTGTGCTACAAACAACTACAAGCATGTGACAAATGTTTTATTACAAAAACTCAAGATTCTTTCAACCTTTTTATTAAATAAAATCTCAAATCTAAAATCCACATTTAAAAATTTCACCAATCCAAACCCATCAAAAGATTTATAAATAACACTAACTTATTAAAACCAATGATATATTTAAATAAAACGATTAAATATCATAAAAATATAAAACATTGTACATAAATTTATTAAAAAAAATCAATAAAAAATATAAATATATATTGAAAACTCATATAAATAATTTATTATCAATTATTTAAACTTTAAAGGATATTTAATACCTAAAAATAAATTAATTTAATATTAGAAAAGAAAATTTTATGCACATGGAAGGATCCAAAAAAAGTGTGGAAGGTGTAGGTCCTGTAGATTGACCTACGTCGTAACTAGTATTTGTTTATCCACCGTTCTCATGGGCCGACATCCCATTTCCACTCTCATTTGCACAAAGAGGTTTTTATTACTTCTTAGATGAACTTATGATTTTCTGGTACTTTTGATTTTTGAAGTCAAGTTCAAACCAATCAGACATCATCTTTGTGGTTCATTTCTTTTCCCTTTCTTATGTATAAATAAACAATCCTTATTAGTTCTGATTTAATTAATTATATATGATTGTTTAATAGTAACTTAATCAATAAACTTTTTTTAATCCATTTTTTCTCGGTTAAAAAAATACTTATTCCATGTATAAATTAACGTCCTTAATTTGTACAGATAGATTAATCTACACAGACAACTTTATCAATGCATGACTTAATGAAAAACTAACCAAAACAACTCCTAAGATAAAAACCAAGATTTAGGGGCCGTTTACCTAAACACTTACCCAATAAGCACTTACCGATAAAATTCAACACTATCGCTTACTTATCGGTTAAGATTTTATTCACTAAAACGCATCGTATGCAACAATTTATCCCGGTAAGCCCTAATCATGGTAAGAGTCATCGTCCTCATTTACCGGGTAAGACTCTCGATTCTTGCATTCGCTCTTACTGGGTAAGATTTTTAGTCGTTCTTGCAATGTAAAGTAAATTAGTAAACGCCTACCCGGGTAAGCATTTGGTAAACGGCACCTTAGTTTTTACATATGCATATTTTAATTTTAGTTTACAAAACCTATTTTTTGAAAACATCATGATGATATTTACACAAAAAAGCTAAAATAATAATGTTTAGTAAAAAAAATTGTTTATAAAGTTGTAATATATTTTATTTTGCATTCAAAATACATTAAAAAAACCTTTAAAGTGAATTTGGTATGTTAAGTAAAACCATAGAAAATGAAAACTATGAAAAAGGTAATAAACATGATGAAATGAAATTTCTCTCATGTTTGGATGCAAATAAGAAATCCAACATGAAAACAAATTGATGTTTATGTCTCTAGGGCTTATTCCAAGCGTAAATACAATCATTTGTAATAACTGTGAGATCCAATATTTTATAAATTAAATAATAAATTATAAAATAAATAATTTTTTTGACTTGAAATTTTAATTAAAGATGATTTTAGATATGTTAGAAATTTTCTCTTTCATCTATCCATCCAACCGTATTTCGGTGAACATAACGTGATACCTAAAAGATTTGGACGCTGTTAAAAAATACATACAAACGATACTCGGTGTGATACACAAGAAACATACAAGATGCACGTTGTGCTATCTTTTGTAAAACAACATAACGTAAATGCATAATGTGACACCATTTGCAAAGTAATGAAAATAACCAAAATGCACATTGTGATACATTTCATAAAATAACGAAAATAACAAAAGTACATAATGTGATACACTCGTAAAGCCACGCTACCTGATACATTTCAAAAAATACACATTGTGATACACTTAATAAGAAATAAACTCGTCTTGAGTTGGTTTTACACAGACAATTAGTACATAATCGGAAACGATCAGAAGTAAAAAAAAAACATAAATGAGAGAGAGAGAGAGAGAGATAGAGAGTGTGTGTGTGTGTGTGAGAGAGAGAGAGAGAGAGAGAGAGAGAAAGAGAGACAATGTGTGTGTGTATGCGCACGAGCAGGGGCAGATGCAATAGTTTAAAGGAGGGGGAAGGAACCCCAGTCAAAAACTCAAAAACAAAAATTCATAGGTTAAAATTTAGGTTATACATGATTTACCTTTCACTTCCCTCCATTACATTTTTCCACGGGCCCCCAACCCCAATCAAAATTGTTACTCTAACAAAAAAAATCTATTGAAATCAATCAAAAAAACCAAGAAAGTTATTCGAAATCGACAAAAACACTAAAAAATTCTTCGAAATCAACCAAAAAACTTTAAAATTCCCTCAAAAACATTGTAATTAGGTTAAAAGCACATCGGACGATTTTACGGGTTTTTAGTCTACCTTAAAAGTGACCCCACTGAACAAAAATCCTGGATCCGCCACTACGCGAATAGAGAATGTGTGTGTGTGTGTGTGCGCGCGCGCGCATGAGAGTGAGACAGAGTTGTTAAATATGGAAAGAATTCTTAAACCTTTTTTGCAATTTTTTATTATTATTATTAAAACCATCTATTTGCATGTTAAATATGGATTTTTAAACAGGGTCTTCAAAATTTTGGGGTCCAATTTTACTTGTATTTGGTATCTGATTGATATAGACTTGTGAATACACCTCAACAAAGACATAAGAAGATTTATCAGTCACGTGTTTGTTATAGTTAAATCAATTTCGATACTCAATCCAATTTTCGTTAAACAACTTAAAGACCTATCTATTTATTTCAAAATCTACAGAAACCAGTAAATTCCAAAATTTGCCGACCAAAAAGAAAATTGACTCTTCGATATTCTTCTTATTTTGTCATTTTAAACATTTTTTGTTGTTTTAATTTGTAAGATTTTTAATGACACAACCTTTTATATTTTATTTTGTTTATTACTTGTTTCAAACAATCTATACTTTTTATCTGAGTGTAACATGTATAACAGGGTTTTTAAAAACTTTAGGTTAACACTATTTATTATCAGTACAATTAAAAAAAAT